AGAACAGAACATTTCTAAGTTATTGGTTTAGTTTTCTGAGGTATGTCGTAATTCCATACAAAAAGTGACTGAAAGTAGGCTTAAAGACGCATCTCTGAAAATCGAAAGCTCAGTAGTTGGTGTTCAAAGAACATCTGCCTAGGATGGCTTTTCGTGTTTCCCCAAAGGCGATATTTTCTGAAATACTAGCATCCCAACTAACTGCCAACTGCTTATTATTATTATAATAATAGAGTTCCCCCACTACACTCTTCCATTTGCTATTTGCCGACATCTGCTTACAATGAAGAAAAATAAAATATTCAATTAATTGACCTGATTTGAGAGCCGAACACTTGTATAATATCGGAGTTCAACAAAACTATTGACAAATCGTATATGAGACAGACTGCCTGAGGCTTTTGGTGATTTATCGTACGTGTTGGACCACAAATAGGCATGTTTTCAATTACCGAAGTTCGTGCTCTACAATAAATTTAGTCCGTTACCTAACAACAAGGAAATAAATTAGCCGGAACCAATACCGACGAATAGGTGGAACGTTCTGGTTGTCATTTTCTGCTTGTCAGTCCTCATCGGAGTTTGACTTAGAGGGCAAGCTGACCCACTACACTCCATTCCGATCAGGTTTAGCGACAATTGGCTTTGTACTCTTAGCGGCCGATGACGGCCATTATTACAAAAACTGTCATTTAAGGGCATATAATTTTCGTCCATAATAACTCTCCCCGGTTTCTTATAAATGTTTTGCAAAAACTCTAGCAAAAGTAGACCGTAAAGCGTTCTCTGGGATCAGTGGTTTATTTGTCCGACCTTTCGAAGCCTCACGGGAGCCCATTGCCATGGAATGAAGAAATGTACACTTCACTGCATATTCAACTCAGGTCTGCTGGGAGCGACCTTGACCATGACCTCTGCCCTCAATCTGTTCGCGCAACGTGAGCTAGACGTCGGGAAGATCGACCATTCAGAAAACTCTAACAAATTACTGCGTTTCCAGGTTGCAGTTCAGCATTATGCCCCTTCGTGACTGTTAATTTAGGTCTCTAATACCTCATTACCTCGTAAAACTTATCCAGTATGCATTTTGTTTGGCATATTTGTAAGTTTCGTTGCTCGCAGCAAAGTGACCTATGACCACGCGTACAGCTGTTGTTAGACGGTGGCCCCAGTTTATTTGTATTTAACGGTTCCCGCTTCTGGCATGAACTTCGAAATATATCGCTTCCACACAAAGTTGGGTGAGTGCTACTGCCTCTGCTACACCTGCTGCATCAACCATCATTGAATCGTCTTTATCTTTTAAGATTCTGAAGCAATCCCTCCAAAAAATCTATTCTTTAAAGCCAGTAATCTATTCATATGTATTCACGAAAGCTTTCAACATACTTTTGTCTTAGCTTAAATTTTAATTGGTTTGGCCGAAGAGAAAGTTTTTAACTATCTGTTTTTTGTTCGTCAAACGTCATCATTGATTATTATGGGGAAAAAACAAGCTTTTAAAATGCAACTTATGTATGTTGTTTTTCAATTGCAGTCAGTCGTTAGTTACCATTGACTCACATTTTGTAGGCGATTGTCAGTCGACCCTTCTTTGGCTGGCTAGGAAAATCATAAAGTAGACAGAAAGCAAATAGCCAGCTTTATTTTGTAACATAGTCACCAATGAAGCCGGTGTGTAATGTATTGCTTAAAATGATCGGTTCTGCCAAAAGTTGATTCAAAAATGTAGGCGAGAGAACCGGATGCAGTAAGCCTTTAACATTATCCTCAAATGCGTACACATTATACTTTCCACGGGTTGTCCGTAGATGCAGTTCACATATTTACCGCAGTTTTAGAATCCTCTTCAGGGGGACATTATAAACAGCATTCCGGTGCGGATATCTTCAGTTCAGGTCTGGGAGCAGAGAGCTGTCTGAACTCAGGAGGTTCTCCGAAACGCTGGTTGTGAGGAAGTTAGCTAGATCATTTGGCGTTGCCTCGTTACGGCCTTGTCGAGATTTTGATCGCCGCCTGCTCGATCTGGAGTTGCTCCCATTTTGCTGGTCGCTCAAAACAAGCATCTCATCATCCATAGACGCTAGTCTCAACTGGGGTTCCCGCCACTGTTTTCCGCTTTTGCTTTCTTTGGGTTTTTGTCGGCTCTTACCATCCTTTGAACCTGATTTGCTCGACTCATGCATTCGTGGTGGGTTCTGATCCTTCCGAGATGAGTTAGCTTCATTATAATAAGATGTGTCAATAGAGGATACGCTCGTTAGAGCTCCACTTCCATCTATAACCTCAACTGGTTGATATGCCATGGCCAGCGATGATTCTTCACTCTCGGTCGTTATTAAAGGGTTTGATTTACCTCCACGAACCTTCGACAGATCAAATAGGCCTCTGGTTCTGTCCAATAAGCGTGACTTTAGGGATCCACCATGTGGCTGAAGCGACTGATCGGAAGAGCTCGACTTCGCACTAGTCTTCAACGCCTCTGTTTTCATCCTGCGTCCCATCGAAGCCTGGCCTTCGGATACAGTATCGTCATTAACCACATCACTCCTGGACTTTCTTCTACTGGTATAATTTTTGCGGCTGGTCCGTGGAACAGAGGGAGACCTGACTTGTGAAGAGGATCGCGCTCGGATGTGGAGGTTCTCCTGCGTTTCGGCACCACTGCTTGTTGATCTTTCTTTTAGATTGGCCGTTACTGCCCGTTTGGTCTTTTTTTGGCGTTCTCCACGTTTCCGTCCCCTACCACGAGGTGTTTTC